ATTATTTCATGTTTCCCAAATGATTTCAGTGAATAAAAAATTTATAAGAGAAAGATAAATATCCCTAATATCTGTGTTAAATAAACACTGCAAATTAGTTTAAAACAATATTTCACTTTTATTATAAACCTGTATATGACTTTGTGTGACTTTTTTTTTTTTGACTAATGAGGGTGAAACCCAGGTAGGTTCTCATAAATGTTAGGCAAGCACTCTACTACTGAGTCAAATATTCAGATGTTAGTGTGACTTTTCATAAGCCCTCAAATGATAAATCAATAGCAGAACAAAATGTGTTGAGGTGTAAATTTTGATAAAATATTTTATTCATTATGAAAGTTGTTAAATAGATTTATAAGGTATATAAGACACTTACATATTTTCCATAAAATATAGTTTTAAAAACCAGGAATTGGAATCTATTAAAACCCTTACAAAGGAAGTCTGTGTCAACAATGTTCAATAGTTTGTATGACATTGATTCAGTAAGCTCACTATAGTTTGGAATAATAAATATACAAAAAATTTTTTGGGATACTCAGAATGTCTCTATAAGAGCAATCTGTACTTAAATTTAGTGTAATAAAAAGCAGTGTGTTGTATTTTTCATTTATATGGATACCAAGATATAAATGAAAAACATTTATAAACAGTATAGAAATACCAAGGAATGACGAGGAGATGGATTAAGGAAGCATTACCACTCTTCTACTGGAGTATAATATTGTTAGACATTTTGGAATACAATTTTCAGATGCTTAATATGTTTCTAGGTTCAGCAAAATCAGGAAAAATGAATATCCAAACATAATAACATGAATAAGTTCAAAACTACATATCTAAATTAACAAATAAAGTTTTAATATTAAACATTACAAATTTAAAATAAAATTAACTTAAAAAATTAACTTGTTTTTTTTAATTTAATTTTTTTTTTGCTGGGAATTGAACAGAGGGGCACTCTACTTGCTATTTTTTATTTTGAGATAGGGAGTCCCACTAAGTTCCTGAGATTTTCATTAAGATTTTTGCTGAGACTGCCCTAGAATGTGTGATCCTCCTGCCTTACTCTCAGAGTTGCACCACTGTGTTATTGGTGTGCACTGCTATGTCTGGCCATACTATGTATTTATGAGTACGTAAATGTAGAGTTAGTCAATGATAACTTCCACATGAATGACACATAGTAGATGGAGCTTACCTCTGGTAATGCTAATAACTTGTAAGGATCAGGACTAGTATTAAAAGGAAGAGGAAATAGTGTGTTAAGTTTCAATTTCATAAAAGTTTTATTTTATTTTAATGATTAAAGTAAATCAAGCACTAATGTGAATATGTACTCAATTTTATTTCTATGTAAAATTTATTATGTAAAACAAGTATGTTTAATTTAGGAAAACATTTAGCTGTAATATTAACATTTCCTAGAGCATTTAAGGTTAGTAGAATCCTCTTAAGTTTATTAAATCATTTAAAAATTTGAGTTAAAAATGCAGCTAATAATTCTATATGAAATTCAATAATTCCACAAACCAAAAGTCATCATAAACTAATTGAAAATATAATTTATTACAGAGAACAATAAAATTTATTTTAGACATGTATGCAAGTCTGAGTTTCCAAGCCAGCCTCAGCAAAAGTGAGGCACTAAGTTCAATCATGAACATCATTTTAAAAGCAAATAACAAATTGTTCAGTAATCTGAAATTACTGAACTTTTCTAACTTCATTTTTACAAAAATTATTGAGATAATATTCACGTAATATATTGTTAACTATCCTAAAGAAAACAATTTATTAGCTAATATTATATCCATAGTTTGTTCAATCAACACTTTGTTACAGTTTTACAAGATTATCATCACTCCTAGATATCCACTAACTAATGTTTCCTGGTATTTTCCTCCCTTCCATACCCTGGATACTATAAGATTTGTTCCATCGTTGTGAATTTATATCCTTCAAGTATTTCATAAAAATAAAATCATACTAAACTTGTGCTTATTTTACACAGTCTTTCACTTTGGATCAAAGTTTAAATATTCATACTTACTTCATTACTTTTCTAAAATTTTTATTTTATTGTAGTGACAAAATTTTCACACAATATATCCTCTTAAACTTTGAAGTGTACACTAGACTAATAATTTTATTCAAAAGGCTGTACACTAGATCTGCACAACTTATTAATCTTCTGCA